TTTTTTTGGGTTGGAGCTCCAACTTTAAATAATACCCCCAAAAAGACAGCTCTATCTGTCTGATAAAAAATTTCATATGGGTACAGTGTTGCATGACTGCACAACTGCCATTCAAAGTGCGACACAGCGTCTGAAATCTGAAAAATTGGCCCTGGGAAGGAAGGGGGTGCCCGGTACTGCTGAAGTGGTTAAACATATTACCTCACTACCTTAAAACTGCCCAATTATTGGGCCAGGCAAAACTTTTTTGGGGATGAATGGGATCACTTAAGCACAAGAAGATTTGTACAGTTGCAAGAAAAAAGTATGTGAACCCCTTGGGATTACGTGGAGTTTTGCATCGAATTGGGCATAAAATGTGCTCCCTGAACCGTCATCTAAGTCACAACATCTGCCCCTGAGAACACAGTCTGCTGAACATAATAATACACCAAACACTAGATGTTGCCATGGTTTAATTGCACCATAACATGTAAACATTCAAGCGCAGGGAGGAAAAAAAGTATGTGAACATTTGGATCTTAATAACTGGTTGACCGTCCTTTCGGCGAGCAATAACCTCAACCAATACGTTTCCTGTAGTTGCAGATCAGACCTGCACAACGATCTTAGGAGTGTAATTTTGGACCACTCCTCTTCACAAAAAACTGTTTCAGTGTAGCAATATTCTTGGGATGTCTGGTGTGGAATACGCTCTCTTAAGGTCATGCCACAGCATTTCAATCGGGTTGAGGTCAGGACTCTCCGACCTGGGCCTACTCCAGAAGGGCTGTATTCTGTGCTGTTGCAGCCATTGTTTTGTTGAATGATTACTTGTATGCTTGGGGTCATTGTCCTGTTGCATCACCCACCCTCTACGGGCTAGCTTCAGTTGGCGGACAGATGGCCGTATGTTTTCCTGCAAAATGTCTTGATAAACTCTGATATTCATTTTCCCATCAATGACAACAATCTTGTCCAGGCCCTGAGGCAGCAAAGCAGCCCCCAAACCATGATGCTCCCTCCGCCATGTTTTACAGTGGGGATGAGGTTTTGTGTGTTGGTGAGCTGTGCCTTTTTTTCTCCACACATAGTGTTGTGTGTTCTTTCCCAAAACAAACTCAATCTTGGTTTCATCTGTCCACAGTATATTTTGCCACAGTAGTGCTGTGGGAAAGCATCCAGGTGTGCTCTTTTGCAAACTTCAAAAACGTGCTGCAATATATCTTTTTGGACAGCAATGGCTTCCTCTGTGGTGTCACTCCCCCTATGTACTCCTTTCTTGTTTAATGTTTTCTTTATTGTAGATGTGTCAACAAAAAATGTTAGACATGTGCCAGAGATTTCTGTAGGTCTTTAGCTGACACTCTGGGATTCTTCTTTATCTCATGCAGCATTTCTGCGCTGTGCTCTTGCAGTCATTCCCTTTACAGGACGACCACGCCTAGGGAGAGTAGCAACAGTGCTAAAACTTTCTCTATTCGTAGACAGTCTGTCTTACCATGGACACATGAACATCAAGGCTTTTGGAGATACTTTTGTAACCCTTTCCAGCTTCATGCAAGTCAACAATTCTTGATCGTAGGTCTTCTGAGAGCTCTTTTCTTCGAGGCATGGTTCACATTCAGACAGTGCTTCTTGAAACCAGTATAAAACCAAAACAGGTGTGTGTTTTTTAAGGGCTGGACAGCTGTCCAGCAAACACATCCAATATCATCACACTGATTGGAGTCAAGGTTGGCTCACTCCTGGCTCCAATTAGCTCTGGGAGAAGTCATTAAGCTAGGGCCTCACATACTTTTTTCCTCCCATTGCACTGTGAATGTTTACATGTTATGTGCAATTAAACCATGGCAACATCTAATGTTTGTGTAGGTATTATGTTCAGCAGACTGGTGTTCTTCTATTGTTGTGACTTAGATGAAGTTCAGAGCACATTTTATGCCCAATTCATGCAAAACTCCACGTTAATCCCAAAGGGTTCACATACTTTTTCTTGCAAACTGTATCTGTTTATTTGTATCTTTATTGGAAGATCACAGACTTGTTATATTTTCCTTTTTTTTTTTTTTTTTTTGGCGGTCCGTTCTTCTAGTTGACCCATTTCTTCTCATTCAGGAAGTTGCGTGAATTTCTGGTAATATTCTTCAGCTTTCAGGGTCATCTGAGATGTTTTCTCTATTAGGAAGCCCCTGTTTAATGACAAGAAAAAACAGAGAGTTAGAAAATGTTTACACAGTAAGGAACCCATTCAAGATTTTGGAAAAACTGATGAAAGTGAAACTGAACTGTAGCACTGGGATGGGCTTTTTAAAACTCTTTCACTGCCAGGCCATTTTTGTGGGGGGAGGGGGGGGTTGCACACTTATTTAAAAAAAAAAATGTTTTTCCCTTGGTTCACACCTTAGCGTTTTCTGTAGCGTTTTGCAGAAACGCACTACAGTCTATTTAACATGATTTCCTATGCGACACATCTCCACATTTTTCATCCGGTGCATTTTTTGGAAAGGGTTAGGGACTTTTTTGAATGCAAAAATTTGCGTTTTTGGTTCTATAAGCTTCAATGGAAATGCTGCAAAAAAGCATCTAGTGTGTTTTTGCTGCGTTTTTGCTGAATTATAGATGCATTTGCATTTAACCTCCCTAGCGGTCTGATTGTTTTGCATGGAAATATGTAGTTTTTTATTGTAGGCCTGTAATTTTTAGGAATAACTCACTGAAATCTGTCCGAAACAAGAGTCTAGTAAAATTCCCGGGTATGATAAAATTTGAAACACGAAATCATAAATTATAATAAAATAAATAATCATAAAAAATAATAATATAATATTAATACATTTAATTCAATAATATAATCAAACCAAAAAATATGAAATTTGAAATATAGCGCCAAGTTCGCACATCGCTGAGCAAAGTCGCAGAATCATTTTCAGTGTCCCAAACGTTTGTCCCTCACACCACCCCCTGCACCTTTCTGTGTTCACATTCCCAGGTGTCCTTTTTGAGGACCGACAAAGATCTTTGACACGATACATTGAAAGGGAGGGGTAATAGGAGCGGGAGGCCGGGTAAGAGGCGGGGTGGTGGCAACAGTAAAAGGAGAGGGGTGCTAATGTTTCTCCACGTCAATTTTAATCCCTGAAAAAAAAAAGTTTTAACCCCTTCTCGCCTCCCAACCCTTTAATCTCCCTAGCGATCTGGATATGTCAGTACTTCTGTCTTGCTGAAATCTGTCCGAAACAAGAGTCTAGTAAACATCCCGGTATGATAAAATTTGAAACACGAAATCATAAATTATAATATATTAAATAATCATAAAAAATAATAATATAATAATAATAATACATTTAATTCAATAATATAATCAAACCAAAAACACTGAAATTTGAAATATAGCGCCAAGTTCGCACATCGCTGAGCAAAGTCGCAAAATCGTTTTCAGTGTCTGATGATGAATTTCCCCCACGAATCATTATCACTCAATTCGGCAAGTGGTTCTGATTTACTATCGCTGTTCTCTAGCCGGTCTAAAACCGCTTTTGACCTAAAGGGACACTTTTTGGACTCCACGGACGTTTCTCAGTTTCCAGGCAGAAAGAAACAGTAAAAATGCAGGCAGGGCGCCGGACAAAGCACTCGGGACAAAATGTATGTGAAATGGTTTGATACAGGAATGTTATACTATGTGATTTTAGTGTATTTAGTGAATGTCACTTTTACAACTTTCAAATTTTCCGCCAGTTCCGTCCCCCGTACGTCCCGACGTCGCAGGGAACGGAACCCAGAAGACAGATGCCGGCATCGGCTCGAGGAGATGGCCGGGGATGCTGCAGGGGGGACATCGCGGGAGTGCAGGACAAGGTAAGTGCAGAAGAAATCCCGGAGCAACGCTGCAGTGTATTCCCGAGTGTAGATCGGGGTTACCGCTTGTGGTGCTGAAACTTTATCCCGAGCTACACTCAGGAATACCGCCAGGGGGGTTAAATCTGCTGAGTAAGAAGGAAAAAAAAAATACAAAAACGCACAAAAAAAACACGTTGAAAAAGCAAAACGCAATGCAGAAACGGATCAATATGTGTGAAGCTAGCCTTAGGCATGAAAATTAGTTAAAACCCCCCCATGCATTAAATCATTTCTGAAATCAGATACCCTAGAGCACAGGTGGCAAACACTAGGCCCATGGGCTGCATCCGGCCACCAGGCCTTGTCATGTGGCTTGTGAAGTGGTTTCCGAATGCCACCTGCAGGCTCTTACCCACTCTTCCTGCTGTCATTTGTGAAAAATAGGAACCTTCTGTGTTTACAGTGACAACTTTACGAGCAGCTACTGTAAATGTATATAAAAATAGCTAAACCACCGAATCAATGAAAAAATACAAAAACAAAGCAGGAAAAAAAAGAGAAAATCGAAAAGCCAGCCACACCTACACATTCTCATATAAATGTGCTGCATAACAAAAACACACGATAGCGGTGCCACACTTTTCTCATAATGTCATTAGAACCACTCAAATGTGACAATTTCCCCAATATAAAACTAAATTAGTAAAAAAAATACTTATACTCATAATCCTTCGAAATGAAAATCTTTCCCTCAGTCTCTTAGATTGTAAGCTCCAAGGATCAGGGCCCTCCTAACCCTCTTGTATTGAACTGTATTGTTGCTGTATTGTCTCCTGTTATATTGTAAAGCGCTGAGCAAACTGTTGGCTCTATATAAATCCTGTATAATAATATTCAATATCTTCTTTTTTCATATACAATGCACCTCCACCATCAATAACACCAGCTGTGCCTCACCTGGAATTTTTGACCTCAGAAATAGCTAGCGTCCTCTAGGTGGACATATAGTGATGGATCACATCTTAGCCACCTCCCGTCCGCCATATAGTCCAATGACAGGTGCAAGGCGGTGCTCTCGTTCTGGAAGGACGTCATATGATGTCCTCCCATTCTCACCGCGCATGCGCGGATTTGGGAGTGCAGAGCGCGGCGATTGGCGGTGTGCTGTGTCCCTTGGATCCACGGAAAGAGCCGAAGATGTCGGGTCGGTCATGTGATCAGCTGTGTCCAATCAGAGCTGATCACATGTAAACAGGGAAATGCCGGTTATCAGCATTTCTCTCCTCACGAGCTGTCACGCTGACAGAGGAGAGGAGAGCCAGTAATCGGCATTCCGCGGAGAGGACATGTACACTGATCATCAGAGCACTGATGATTAGTGTGCCCTGATGATCAGTGTAGCCCCAGCAGTGCCACCTGTCAGTGTCCATCAGTGCCAGCTCTCAGTGCTCATCCATGCCACATGCCAGTGCCCATCAGTGCCATATCAGTGCCACATATCAGTGCCTACCAGTGCACATCAATGCCAAATATCAGTGCCCATCTGAGCTGCCTTTCAGTGTCACCCGTCAGTGCCACCTATCAATGCCAATCAGTGCAACCTATCAGTGCTGCCAATCAGTGCAACCTATCAGTGCCAGTCTGTGCTGACCATCAGTGCCCGTCAGTGCCACCTATCAGTGTGTATCAGTGCCGCCTAACAGTGCCAGATATCAGTGCTGCCTTTCAGTGCCCATCAATGATGCCTGTCAACACCCATCAGTGCCACCTATCAGTGCCTCATCAGTGCCCATCAGTGCCACTATCAGTGTCCATCAGTGCAGCTTTTCAGTGCCCATCACTGCAGCCTCATTAGCGCATATCAGTGAAGGAGAAAAATCACTTATTTACAAAATGTTATAACAAAAACTAAGAAAAAAAAGTTTTTTCCCCAAAATTTTCAGTGGTTTGTTTAAGCAAAAAAAACAAAAACCAGAGGTGATTAAATACCACCAAAAGAAAGCTCTGTCACAAAAAATGATAAAAATTTTATATGGGTACAGTGTTGCATGACCGCACAATTGTCATTCAAAGTGTGACAGCGTTGAAATCTGGAAATTGGCCTGGGCAGGAAGGGGGTGTAAGTGCCCTGTAGGCGAGGGGTTAAGCTCCTTCTTGTAACTCCTCCTCCAATCAGCATACATGTAGAAAATACATAGGCAGACCAATAGTGTTCTATCATTTAACCACTTCCCAACCGCTCTATAGCAGAAATACTGCTATAAGGCGGCACGGGCATGCAAAATCACGTATATATATATATTTTGTATTTCTGGGTAGGGGGAGCGCACGAGCCCTACCCGCACTGCCATTTGCTGTCAATCACCGGATCCCAGCTGGTGATTACCCGCTGGTGCCCGGTGATTACCGAGCTTCTCCGACGGGGAGTAGGTCTGTTTTATTTACTAACAGTTCTCCTCCCTGTCAGCTCGGGCACACTGCTCTGGATGGCTGTGCACAGCACAGCCATCCAGAGTATTGTGCTTACATTGAAGCACACAGACACCACCCCCTAGTAAAACACTCCCTACACATAGTAAACCCTTTGATCACCCCTCATGTTAACCCCTTCCTTCCCAGTACCATTAGTACAGTGTCAGTGCTTTTTTTTTTTTTTTTTTTTTTAGCACTGATCACTGTATTGGTGTCACTAGGGATGTCAGTGACACCAAGTCCGTTCCCCCCAGTGTCAGAATATCCGCCACAGTTCCGCTATAAGTCGCTGATCACCGCCATCACTAGTAGAAAAAAAAAAGAAAAAAAAATCTAGTATCTATTCTGCTATTTGTAAGCGCTATAACTTTCACGTAAACCAATTAATTTACATGTATTAGGATTTTTTTAGCAAAGACATTTTGCCCTAAATTTATGACGAAATTAGATTTTTAAAAATTTTTTACTGGACATGTTTAATAGCAAAAAGTCAAAAATATCGTTTTTTTTTTTTCCTCAAAATTGTCGGTCTTTTTAAAAAAGGTATATTCTGGGTAGGAGTTTTGTTTTTTTTAAAGCATTTTTTAAATTTTTGTGTATTTTTAGGCAGGATAAAAAAAACAAAACAAAATGCACACTATTGCCCTACTATGGGTACAAACAACAAATAACATACACCTAAAAGAAATGCTCAGATACATGAATAAAAGAAAGGAAATATATCCCTATGTGAAAACACCAATAATAATTCACTAAAAACTATTCATAAAATAGTGAATAGGATAGCATAAAATGAATAGGATAGCTTAAAAATCGTAAACGAAATAAAAAAGCCCATATTTGTCAATCCTAAATGTACAGTCAATAAAAACCACAAAAAAATTAATGAAATATCGTGATAAAGGGATATATTTCCTTTCTTTTATTCATGTATCTGAGCATTTCTTTTATTACGTTTATTATTTATTGCTGCACCCTGAGCACCTTTATATGCCATGGATAAATTAGTGTATTTCCCCCGATAATTCACCAATCTCGGTGATAAATCATTGAGTAGGGGGATTCGCTATCCATGATTACCTCCCTGGGACTGCGTACCACTATTTGTGGCATATAAGCGTTTTTGTATGCGCTCAGATCGCTGTGTATAAACATATTTCAGCTATCGTTTTTAATTTCCTCGGCAAAGAAATGGTGTCTCAAAATGCAGATAAACCGGTCCTTTCTTTTAGCGGCGGTGATTTTTGTACATTAGAGACTATCCCCGTTCTTTGACCGGCTGTTAACTAGTTGCCGACCGCAGATAGCCGAATGACGGCTTCACTGCGGCCGGCCAGTTCTGGGTGGACGTCATATGACGTCCCCCCAGAACGCTCTCTCCTGCGCGCCCCAGGGGGCGCGCACCCGGCGATCTCCGTGATCGCTGTGTCCTACGGACACAGCTGATCACAAGATGTGGTAAAAGGCCGATCATACCGGCCTTTTACCACGTGATCAGCGGTGTCCAATGACACGCTGATCACAGGGAAATGCAAGTGCCGGTTCTCGGCTGCACTTTCCTCACGCTGTCAGATCGTGAGGAAAGTACTGCCGAGAACCGGCAGTTGTCAGAGCGAGGATCGGCACCGATCATCAGGACCACTGATGATCAGTGCCCTGATGATCGGTGCCCAGCAGTGCCACCCACAAGTTCCGCCCACCTGTGCCCAGCAGTGCGCCCACTAGCTCCGCCCACCTGTGCCCAGCAGTGCACCCACCTGTGCCCAGCAGTGCACCCACCTGTGCCACTCTGCAGTGCCACCCACCTGTGCCCAGCAGTGCCACCCACCTGTGCCCACCAGTGCCACCCACCTGTGCCCACCCACCAGTGCTGCCCACCAGTGCCACCCACCAGTGCCGCCCAGCAGTGCTGCCAGTCAGTGCCACCAGTCAGTGCCGCCAGTCAGTGCCCAGCAGTGATGCCAGTCAGTGCCATCTATCAGTACCCATCATCAGTGTCACCTATCAGTGCCGCCTATCAGTGCTGCATATTACTGCCGCCTATCCGTGACACCTCATTAGTGCTGCCTATCAGTGCCGCCTATCCGTGCCACTTCATTAGTACTGCCTAACAGTGCCCTTTAGTGCTGCCTATCAGTGCCCATCAGTGCCGCCTATCAGTGCCCATCAGTGCCGCCTATCAGTGCCCATCAGTGCTGCCTCATCAACGCACATCAGTGAAGGAGAAAAAATACCTGTTTGAAAAATTTTATAATAGAAACAAAGAAACTTTTTTTTTTTTTTTCAAATTTTTTGCACTTTTTTAATTTATAGCGCAAAAAGTAAAGCGCCCAGTGGCGATTAAATACCACCAAAAGAAAGCTCTATTTGTGAGAAAAAAAATGATCAAAATTTCATATGGGTACAATGTTGCATGACCGCGCAATTGTCAATCAAAATGCGGCAGCGCTGAAAGCTGAAAATTGGCCTGGTAAGGAAGGGGGTATAAGTGCCTGGTAGGCAAGTGGTTAATATAATTGTACATAATAATGTATATTTTTTTTTTGCTATATTTTATGCAATATTTTAACCAGATTACAGACTTGAGCACCCGGAGCACCTTTTTATGCCGTGGGTATGTTAGTATTATTCCCCTCATTTAATCACCAATTTGGTGCTGAATTATTTGGGAAGGGGCTTGTGGCTGTATTATTCCAATGGAAACTGGAGTTATTACTAGAGATGAGCGAAGTATTCAAAAATTCGATTCGACTGATTCGGCGAATTCGTGGAAAAATTTCGATTCGAGTCGAATATATTCGCTGTGAATTTAACCTAAAAAAGGGTGTTTCTAGGCTTCAGAGAGACTTAATATTAGTGCTGAACACTGTACCTTTAATTTAAATGCCCTTGGAGTCTGCTGGGGAAGAGAAATAATACTGTCAGGCAGTATGACATGCAGATGAGTGCCGTCGATCTTAGAATCACCGCACACTTCACTCATTTGGCCAGTCACGGGGCCAAAACCAGAGTGTGGAGCCACAGTGTGGCGGTGGAGGCAGCAGCAATGGGAGGCCATACAGCACCCTATGACAAAAATGGAAACCACCAGCAGTGTGAGGAGACCTGAAAGTGGCACATGGCAGAGTGTGGCGATAGAGACAGCAGCAATGGGAGGCCGTACAGGGACCCATGACACACTCTGGACCTGGCAGCAGCATGAGGAGGCGGTACAGGGGCCCATGGCAGATTACGGGCCTGGCAGCAGCATGAGGAGTCGGTACGGGGGCCCATGGCAGATTACAGGCCTGGCAGCAGCAATGGGAGGCCGTACAGGGACCCATGACACAATCTGGACCTGGCAGCAGCATGGGGAGGCGGTACAGGGGCCCATGACAGATTACGGGCCTGGCAGCAGCATTTGGAGTCGGTACGGGGGCCCATGACACACTCTGGACCTGGCAGCAGCATGAGGAGGCGGTACAGGGGCGCATGACAGATTACGAGCCTGGCAGCAGCAACTTGGACAGGAGGACGTTCAGTTTCTGCACCGTCTGGTGCGTGCTCGCAAACTGTTGTCTCTTGGAAACGGATTCCAAGAAAGACTGCTGACGGAATCCGTGAAGAGGAGTAGCAGGAGAAGGAGCATCTGAACGAGCGGAATATGCCAACAAGCGACAACAGGGGCCCATGACAGATTACGGGCCTGGCAGCAGCATGAGGAGTCGGTACGGGGGCCCATGGCAGATTAGGGGCCTGGCAGCAGCTATGGGAGGCCCATAATCTGCCAGCACCCTATGACAAAAAATGGAACCCACCAGCAGTGTGAGGAGACCTGAAAGTGGCACATGGCAGAGTGTGGCGATGGAGACAGCAGCAATGGGAGGCCGTACAGGGACCCATGACAGACTCTGGACCTGGCAGCAGCATGAGGAGGCGGTATAGGGGCCCATGGCAGATTAGGGGCCTGGCAGCAGCTATGGGAGGCCCGTAATCTGCCAGCACCCTATGACAAAAAATGGTGTAGCAGGAGAGATTAATCCTGTTTCATGGCTGTGATCTGCTGACTGGCCTCTCCTGTGTAACCTGACACTTGCCCTGACACAGACAAAGCAGTGAGGGATTTCAGCCCCCCCTTTCTCCTCTCA